ACGTGTCGAACTCCTCGTCTAGCTCGTCGGGGTACATCTGATCCCTGTACCACCACAGCACCGCATATATGTTTGGGAACGTGTCGAGTTCTTCGTCCACCTCCTCCGGGTGCACCGCGTCCATGTGCGGCAGCCTCCGCAGCCGCCGACAGTAGTTCCACGCCATGATCATGATGAAGCACATGAAGATGGTGAGCAGGATCAGCTTCGGATAGCACACCATCTTCAGGAACACCACGTGTACCAGGATCGTCGTAAGCGGGTTCTTCCACTTGCACACGGCGTCGAACCATTTGGCGATGGCGACGAGGCTGGAGAAGAACATGGTGATCCGGCAGATGTTGGCCTTGTTCCGGCCAAGGCTAAACATTTGGGAGCCGACGTCGAGCATGTACTCAACCACCTCCCTACGCAGCGGCATCGCCACAATCACCATCGCCTCGAACCGGAGTTCGTAGTTTAGCTGCAGTTCGGAGATGGGGTTGGTGTAGTGCACCTTGGGCAGCAGCGGCCGCCCGTACTGCGCCAGCATGTTGGCCCATGACGTGCACGTGAACCGGATGGCGAGGTGGAGCTCCCCCGTCTTCTTCTGCCCCTCAGGGCTCAGCGTCATTAGTGGGTGGTAGTGCGTGTACACGTACTCGCTCTCTAATGTCGCGAGCCAGATGCGCACCTTCCCGATCCTCTCGTCCTTGGCGTCGCCATGTCCGTCGAGATTTTTGTTGTCGAAGACGGCGACGGTGATGACGGTGCTGAGGTCAAACACCTCCCAGGTGTACTGCTCGTTCCACGCCGGCGCGGCGGTCCCAAGGAGCGCACCCACTTGGCGCCGTACTTGGCGACACAGTAAGGCTTCTTGTTGTAGCCCAGGCCGCGCGCGCTGAGGATGCCCACCTCCAGCACGCCGATGGCACTCTTGCGAAGCCTACTGGCCGCCGGCTGCAGGTCGCTGCTGTAGTGCATAGGTTCGTCCAGCACATGGTACGCCATCTCCAGGCTCATCTTCAGGTGGATCTTGCTGGCGAACGTCTTCAACATCTTGCTTTCCGTCGTGACGACGTCCGCCGCCGCCTCGTCCGCCATCATCCCGCGCCACGTCTTCAGGTTGAACCATTTCGACGGCACCTTCTTGGCCAGGTCGTTGCGTGGCACGTACGGCGACGCCACGGGGATGATGATTTGGCTGATGGGCTCGTCTCTCCCCGCGGCGACTTCCTCCTCAACCGTGACCACGAGTGGGTCCTCGAACGGCTCGATGGCCACGAACATGAACTCCTCGTTCCACGCCGGGTTCGCCGACCCCTGTGGCTGCCCCGGCCGCGTCCGCCGGATCTGGCTGCCCATCTGGATCCTGACAATGGTGGGTGCGAGAGGCGGGCCATTCTCGCTTCCTATGAGGTCCTGCGCCCCGATGACAGCGACCTTGAGGTAGATGAGCTTGGCCGGCAGCGCGGGCTTCGTCTCAGTGAGGCCGTATTGCGGGCCGCCCTTTGCCGTCTCTGATCCAGGTGGTGCCGCCTGGGCCCGCATGACCGCCGTATGCCTAGGTTCAGAGGAGGCTGACACGGAGCGCAACATGCGAGGCTCCTCTTTGCTCTCCGGCGTATGTGAGATAGAAACAACATGATCAGGCGAGGCGGCAGCGAAAGCTTCCTGACGATCATCTCCGGGTCCATGATAAGGCCCAGAAGGACCGGCGGTTGTAGAGAAAGGCATGACGACCGTCTGGCCCGCCAACGCATGCACCACCCCTGAGGAAGAAGAAGCAGCCACCGCCGTCTGGTCACCGGCGTCGGTGGAGCCATGCATTAGTCTTCTTATCTTATTATATATATACTCCGTACAATATATAAAAATACTATATATAAATAAAGCAGAGAGACGGTTGGATGAAAATTAAATATTTATTTCGATCGTAGCATAAAAGGAATCAACACTGAAGTCTGATAATGAAACAGTAGTGACATTCGGTTGGGGGAATCTGTTCAACACTAAAGGAATACACGTATTTCCTAGAAGCGAAATCCTAAATTTTGCTTAGCTTTATTCATTTTATTTTTGTTGACAAATAAGCAATGCTCTCCAATTCAAAATATAAGCAGCTTAGGATATTGCCACGTTGTTCAAAGTGAATTCGTTTTGGTTAGAAAGGGGTATTACATGGTTTTCGCCTGTTTTTCCTCAACAAATCGAGCAGCCTTTTAGCATATGTGGTGAGCTAAACTCTTTTGACTTTCACAACATGTTTTTTTTCTCCTAATTTTACACTTGCACGTTCATATATACATACAAAAAGCGCTAGTCAAAACATTGGAGAGTACAAAATCTCTAACATCATGTATTTTCGAATGAAGGGTTTATATGTGTTGTTTCATAAAAAAAAGTCTTATGAAAATATATCTCATAATCAATCTAGTACTCCCTCTATTCACTTTTCTAAGACGTTTTAGACAGCTGAAATTGAACTATTTTGGGTGTTGTTTTAAATGTCTAAAACGTCTTATAAAAGTGAATGGAGGGAGTAATATTAATTTTCTGTGATTTTTGTTGCTAATTATTTCTATATCGCTGGTCAAATTGAAAAGATGTCTGATTGATTTTTCTTCTTCTAAACCTACTAGTATTGTGAACCAGAGATATTATGTGGAAAAAGGATCTAGTGATGTGCAACTAAGGCCACTAGCGTCATGGGTCTCCTGGTTGTGTTCCTCCAGCATCAAAGCTCGTGCTCTAGCAACTCAAATGGTTCTAGTGCAAGAATCCGAGAGGTATCTATAGAAATTCGGGGTTTTTTTTTTGCGAGGGAGTACCAACCCGGAATTAAAGCTAGAAATGCGTAAACTCTCAAATTTTGAACATACCTGAATATTTTCCAGTTCATGAAGTCTGTCAATTATATCTCGTACACTAGCTGGTCTCTTCTTTGGATTAAAGTCTCTACACTTTAAAGCCATCTCGTAGCATGCTCGTATTTCTTTGCATAGTGTCTCTCGTTGTGATCTCTCCAACCTATCACTCCAACGTTGAAGTACCTAAAAGATTGCAGTGTTGAGTTATGGTCTATGAAATCGATCAGCAACATCTTTCTATATAACACTCAATTATATACAGTATATATGGACCACGTACATTCAAGCATCAATCTAACAAACGAAAATCTCTAAAAAGGTCAACCGTGCCCCCAATAGATTCATGTAAGATCCATCACCGTGTAAATTACAGTTTCATGTTCGATAAAAAAATAGAAGCAAAAGGTAAAATTGGTTTTGCAAATGATAGCATATGTGATTATATTTATTTGTATATGATTTTAATATCTTTATTTTTCATGCAATTTATTTTAGCAGTGGCATGTTTCTTTTCTTCAAAGACTTCCATACATTTTTTTTACATTCAAAGACTTGGGTACTTGTATACCTTGGAAGTTTTTTATTCTCCATAAGTACTACATTCATGTTTTCCTACAGAAAATGGTAATGCTTCTTTTACCTTTATTTTGTG